CTTCGAGGTGCTCTTAAGCAGATGTTTTAAATTAATAAATTTTTTTTTTACTACAAAATTAGGAGTTTTAACTTACTTGCTTGAAAGGTGAATCCAGCTTCTCCCAGCCTCTCATCCACAGAGGTGGCCAAACACATCTCTTGTGACTGTACCTAGACAGGAAGTGTAATGGTGTACAGGTGTTCAAACCTGTATACAGATGGTTTCACTTGCTTAGTTCAGACCTAAATTAATCTTATTCTGAACATATATGAGGAAGTAGGCAAAAACTGAATTTACTGCCTGCTACAGAGCCAGTGGTACGAGACAGGAACTGGCTGATGCTGGCCCCTGAAGCACCAGCATGGCTTCAGATATATATTTGATATTAATGTGTACTGCCTATTTCCTAGGCCAGAATTAGGTCCCTAAGTTGGGTCAAGATGCTTCTGTTCACATTATACAATTAGCAAATGAACATCCCTTAGATTAAAATTGCAGGTTTTGCTGTAGTCAGTCCTGGTTTACAGAATTTGCCAGAACCAGTAAGAGAAGGAAGCAGCTGTGCAGTACAGATTAAGCCAAGGAAGGGTTTTAGCTCCTTGCTTTCTTACCCTGTACTTCAGAAATAATCCATAAACCCTATTTTTTAGGTGATGACATTACTTCTTTTCTGTGGGAGGGGTATTTATATGGGAGAGAGTGATTTATAGCGTAAGTAGATGTCTGGCATGTCAGGCTTGCCTTTGTTGAAATAATAGCTTTATTTACAACTCTAATACAGTATCAAAATATCTAGCCTAACATCAACATTAGCAGGAAGTAGCTTCTTGTCTTAGAATACTGTTCTGGAGACAATGTATTTGTGAAAAAATATAGGCAAAGACTATTTAATGTTTTGTTGTCCAGCTGGCTGTACCTGTAAGGGGACTTGCAGCCTCAGGAATTGAACAATACGGTTGACAAAGCATTTCTTACATGTTAGGGGATAGATCAGTCCTCTTTGAGCTGTACTGAGGATAGAAGCACTTCCGTTCTTGTAATTCAGATAAATGAAACAGCATGAAACTGGGTAACAGAAAGGTCACATTACTGAAACCGTTGCTATGACAAGTACGCCTGCCTGTATTGGCAGCTGGGCATCTTGCAGCTAGTGACTCGTTTTCTCAAGATTAGTTTTATTGGGTCCACTGCTACTTTTGTGCCAGTAGCATTACAGCATTTGCTTACTTAGTTGAAATTATTTTCCTTATGACTTATCACAGCTGTTAATTTCAACTTTTTCAGTTCCTGAGTTCTGTAAAATGATTAAGTGAGTTGTTCGAGAAGGGCAGTTGTCAGCCTGCTTACTCCTTACAGGGATTATGATAGTTAGACTAAGGCCCTGACCTGAGAGCTATATACAGCCCTGCCCTAATATCTTAGCGTAAGATCATTCTTTCAAATGTGAACAATGATATCTTTAATAAGCATAAGACAACAATTCAAAAAATAATGTTGTTTATCAGCCTATATCAGTCCAATATTTGCAAGTATGTCAAACATCTGATTTTCAAAGTTGAGATGCATCCATGGTAGAGTCATATACAGGAACTCAGGATCTTGCAGACTTAATCTCATTTACAATCTCTGTATCTTTGCAGTGGAGATTTAATATAATTAAAAACACACAACAAATTAATTTATTCCTGGAACTCATAATGAAGAACAATAACAGACACTGGATATATCCTTTCAGTCTGGTAACATTGCTTGTGACCTGGATGATGCCTGTGGTGAAACTGCAGAGCAGAAACCAATATCTCATCTGTTATGGCCCTTGGACAAATGTGCGAAGTCTGATGTAGGTCAACTGCAAGGACTCATACACACATCTAATCCATAGATGAGGGGTTTGGGTTTTGTTTTTTTTTTGTGGCAGAAAACTAGAAATATAAAGCCACAAAGGAAGAAAATATGGCTCTTGTTTAAACTCCTGTAGGGCAAGACTTTCTACCTCTTGTTTTCAGACTGCAGTACCTTTCATTGTGGAGCTGTAGGAGTAGTAATTGGTGGCCCTGGTTTTGGAGATATTTAAGTATGGTTTCCTGTGAGAAAGTACCTTTTATCTGCAATAGAGTGCAAAGAACGGAGCCATGTAATTAAATAGATAATTACTAACTAGCAATAAGAAGACCAGGTAGACTTTCATTATAATGTCTTTTTGGGGAAATACTCTATTTTTACAGTCTGTAAATCACTTGAAATTCAAAGGCTAGAAGAGGTACCATGTTATTTTATGGTAGCTGATAAGAACCAATTCAAAGTAAATTGTCACAGCAATCATCTATTTAGAGGAAGCAAATTATTGGTGATCTCTTGACATATCTTGGTATACACATATGATAGTTGCACATATGTTTATTATCCTTACTTAGGCTTGGGTACTTCACTTTGGTGTTAAGTAATACAATTTAAACATGACCTGGCCTCAAAGGAGTGTGGGAGGGAGCTCAGGACAGGCAGCT